CCCCCCCGGAGCCTCCAAACGTTACTTGGCTCTGAATACGAAAGCGTTGCGCGTGTGCGGGAAGTCTGTTGCTTCAACAGCACTGCCCACTCTCACCCGATGCAGAATACAGTTTTGGCACTTGCACACGCAGCGTTGTCGTTATCCTTCCTGCAGCTCTGGAAAGCAGGCCGGTTTTCCAGCAGCTCTGGAAAGCAGGCCGGTTTTCCTGTCCTCCCCTTACAGGTGGAGAGGGTGTCTTCCTAAGGTCCACCAGATGAGGTGGGGTCCAAACTGTGGCCTTCCAAAGTCGTACATAAGAACATAAGAGAAGCCAGTGTTGGATCAGGCCAGTGGCCCATCCAGTCCAACACTCTGTGTCACACAGTGGCCAAAGATACCAGGTGCCATCAGGAGGTCCAGCAGTGGGGCCAGGACACTAGAAGCCCTCCCAATGTTGCCCCCCCCATTTTTTGGTGGGCCAGGACACGGGAAGCCCTCCCAATGTTGCCCCCCCCAAGCACCAAGAAGGCAGAGCATCCCTTGCCCCAGACATAAGAACATAAGAGAAGCCAATGTTGGATCAGGCCAGTGGCCCATCCAGTCCAATACTCTGTGTCACACAGTGGCCAAAGATACCAGGTGCCATCAGGAGGTCCAGCAGTGGGGCCAGGACACTAGAAGCCCTCCCACTCTTGCCCCCCTCAAGCACCAAGAAGACAGAGCATCACTTGCCCCAGACGTAAGGACATAAGAGAAGCCAATGTTGTATCAGGCCAGTGGCCCATCCAGTCCCAACTCTGTCACACCGTGGCCAAAAATACCAGGTGCCATCAGGAGGTCCAGCAGTGGGGCCAGGACACTAGAAGCCCTCCCACTCTTGCCCCCCCAAGCACCAAGAAGGCAGAGCATCACTGCCCCAGACATAAGAACATAAGAGAAGCCAAAGTTGGATCAGGCCAGTGGCCCACCCAGTGCAACACTCTGTGTCACACAGTGGCCAAAAATACCAGGTGCCATCAGGAGGTCCAGCAGTGGGACCAGGACACTAGAAGCCCTCCCATTGTTGCCCCTCAAGCACCAGGAATACAGAGCATCACTTGCCCCAGACCTAAGAACATAAGAGAAGCCAGTGTTGGATCAGGCCAATGGCCCATCCAGTCCAACACTCTGTGTCACACAGTAGCCAAAACCCAGGGGCCATCAGGAGGTCCACCAGTGGGGCCAGGACACTAGAAGCCCTCCCACTGTTGCCCACCCCCAAACACTGAGAATACAGAGCATCCCTTGCCCCAGCCTGAGAGTTCCTACCTGTACCTTGTGGCTAACAGCCAGCCACAGATGGACCTCTGCTCCATATGCTTATCCAGTTCCCTCTTGAAGCCGTCCATGCTTGTAGCCGCCGCCACCTCCTGTGGCCATGAATTCCGCGTGTTAATCACTCTTGGGGTGAAGGAGGGCTTCCCTTGATCCATTCTAACCCGTCTGCTCAGCAGTTTCATTGACGTCGTGGCTCTGTCTCGTAGCCACGGGGCCACACTGCCACTGTGCCATGTGCCAAACAGCCCCTCAGTGCACGGAGCGGAAGCCCCTCTGCCCCTCCTTGTGGCAGTGCCCGTCTTCTCTCAGAGGGCCGTCGGCGGACAGACGGAGTCCGCGTCTCAGTGGGATTCCAGTCTGGCCGGACCGCCAGTTGCGTCGTCCCCGGTTTCGAGTCACTCTTCTAAGCTGCGGAGAAGATATACGCCACGGCAATGTTCTCTCTAAGCTGTGGAGTCTTGTGAACAAGAAATCTACTCTGTGAGCTACCAGCATTCAAACTGTGAGCGAGCGATTTGGCTGCTGCATTGAACTAGTTTGCTCTGGAGCCATCTTTCCTGAGCTACGGCAAAAATGGGTGAGCCGGAGGCTAAAAAACTGTGAGCTAGCTCACACTAACTCAGCTTAGAGGGAACACTGGCCACGGGGGGAGGGGAGGCCAAGCAGCCCGTAAAATGGGAGTGCTCGGACCACTCCCGGAGCGAGTGTATTGGTATTCTTTTCCCAGCGGCGCCCCAAGGGAGGGCGGGGGGGCAGGCGCTGGGAATCCCTGGCACCCTCTCCCTGCCGCCCCGTGTTCGCAGAACATTTCAGCTGCAAAGAAAACGGAGGAGGGCAGAGTTCCGTTCTGCAGCCCTTTCTCACAGTGAGGCCCGGGAACCTTGCTTGGTCCGGGTTGGTTTGTCTTCCTTAAGGTGGAACCCGGACAAACCCAGGGTTCTCCTTTTCGAGGGGGGTCAGATGAATCCTCTAGCTCGGAGCTCTGGTCTTGCCCTGCCCGGGATCTGGGCGCGTGTTACCAGGAAGCGTGTCCCTTTGGAAGTTGGCGGGACTGGTCTGTGAGTCGTCGGCCCGAAAGATTGGGTCATGTTCCCTGTAAGCTGTGGAGTCCTGTGAGCAAAAATCCTACTTTGTGAGTTGCCACACACTACCTCAGCTGAGAGGGAACCCTGCTCTGGAGCCCTCCTTCCTGAGCGGAGACAAAAATGGGCCAGCCGGAGGCTAAAAACCTGTGAGCTGGCTCACACTACCTCAGCTGAGAGGGAACCCTGCTCTGGAGCCCTCCTTCCTGAGCGGAGACAAAAATGGGCCAGCCGGAGGCTAAAAACCTGTGAGCTGGCTCACACTACCTCAGCTGAGAGGGAACCCTGCTCTGGAGCCCTCCTTCCTGAGCGGAGACAAAAATGGGCCAGCCGGAGGCTAAAAACCTGTGAGCTGGCTCACACTACCTCAGCTGAGAGGGAACCCTGCTCTGGAGCCCTCCTTCCTGAGCGGAGACAAAAATGGGCCAGCCGGAGGCTAAAAACCTGTGAGCTGGCTCACACTAACTCAGCTGAGAGGGAACACTGCTCTGGAGCCCTCCTTCCTGAGCCAAGACAAAAATGTGTGAGCTGGAGGCTAACAAACTGTGAGCTAGCTCACAGTAACTCAGCTTAGGGAAAACACTGGTCGTGGCGCGTGCGGAAAAGGACGGGAAGCAGCCGAAACCCGCAGGAGTTCTCCTCCTCCGTTGGGTTGAGCCACTGAAGGGCCGTCCCTCGGAAGCCGTTCACCCATGGACCACCTTCCCGTTGTGTCCCGCAGTTGACGTGGAGATGAAGCACCCGGAACACCTCTACATCTCCGCCTCGGAGTGGCCCCTCATGGTGGTGAGTGGTGGGGGTGGTGGGGCTGTGCCATGGGGGTGGCGATGGGTGGGGGGGCCTTGGAGGGTTTTTGGGAAAGGCGTGATTGCCCATTTCTGTGGACCGAGCTTTGGTGTCCAAGCTTGGCCTACAGGCCCACAGCCCACCGGGGACCTCTGATTTCCTCCGCCCGGTTCCTCCGACCCAGTGCCGCATCCTCCATCCTTTTGGAGGGTGAGCATACAAAGGTAGCACGCATCCTGGGACCTTCTGCATGCCAGGCAGAGGCTCTGCCCCCGAGCCACGGCCCCTCTTGACAGCTCTCCAGGGTCTCAGGCGGAGGTCTTTCCCATCACCTCCTGCCTAGTCCTTTTTAACTGGAGATGCCGGGGATTGAACCTGGGACCTTCTGCATGCCAAGCAGAGGCTCTACCACTGAGCCACAGCCCCTCTTTACAGCTCTCCAGGGTCTCAGGCAGAGGTCTTTCCCATCACCTCCTGCCTGGTCCTTTTTAACTGGAGATGCCGGTGATTGAACCCGGGACCTTCTGCATGCCAGGCAGAGGCTCTACCACTGAGCCACAGCCCCTCTTGACAGCTCTCCAGGGTCTCAGGCGGAGGTCTTTCCCATCACCTCCTGCCTGGTCCTTTTTAACTGGAGATGCCGGGGATTGAACCCGGGACCTTCTGCATGCCAGGCAGAGGCTCTACCACTGAGCCACAGCCCCTCTTGACAGCTCTCCAGGGTCTCAGGCAAAGGTCTTTCCCAAAGGTCTGCCTGGTCCTTTTTAACTGGAGATGCCGGGGATTGAACCTGGGACCTACTGCGTGTCCAACAGATTCTCTGCCCCTGAGCCGCAGCCCCTCCGCAAATTTGACATTGAACAGTAGAGTCTCTACACCCTTTGGGTGTGGGCTTGCCTCCAGAGCAGCTCCTCATTGTAGTGGGAACAGAGAGGCAAACATTCCAAGCAACGCCCCCTCTGAGCTGTGGAGTCTTGTGAGCAAAAATTCTATTTGGTGAGCGGCTGGCATTAAAGTTGCGAGTGAGCGGTTTGGCTGCTGCATCGATCAGTTTGCTCTGGAGCCACATCCTTCCTGAGCGAAGACAAAAATGTGTAAACCGGAGGCTAAAAAACTGTGAGCCGGCTTACACACACTCAGCTTAGAGGGAACACTGGTTCCAAGAATACTTATTCGAGTCTGGTTGGTTTCCAGATCTGGCCAAGTCCATTTCTGTCGCCTCGTCTCCTGGAGGCCCCGCGCTGTTGATTGTATGGATTTTATTCTATGTAATCCGCCTTGTGTCCCAGTGAGAAAGGCGGACGATGAATAAATAGAGTTGGGGGAGAGATTGAAATGTGTCCAGCACTTGCTTTCTTACTGACGCCGGAGTTAGTCGGCTGGGTTGGTGACTCTCCAGCCAAGCTCTTCCCGCCCCTGGGACAGCGTCCCTCCTGATCGCCCGGCCTCGGCCGTCTCCTTCCTTCCCTCGCAGTTCTACATGGTGATGTGCATCGTCTACGTGCTCTACGGCGTCCTCTGGCTGGTCCTCCTCGCCTGCTACTGGCGCGACATCCTGCGCATCCAGTTTTGGATCGGCGGCGTCATCTTCTTGGGCATGCTGGAGAAGGCCGTCTTCTACGCGGAGTTCCAGAGCATCCAGAACCACGGAGTGTCGGGTGAGTCGCGGTCCGCGTGCTTCCCCCGACGGTCCCAGTAACTCGCCGTGAAGGTGACTGGATTTGCAAAAATCGCTCTTTCGGCGCTTCATGCCTCATCCTACCTCCTGCAGGGATCGAGGCGGCTTACGAAGCCGGAAAACGCTCTGCAAAATCAAACAGGTGGCCACACGATTGGTTAGCCGTGGAGTCTTGTGAGCAGAAATTCGACTTTGTGAGCGACTGGCATTAAAGTTGTGAGCAAGGGGTTTGGCCGCTGTATAAATTAGTTCGCTCGGGAGCCCTCCTTCCTGAGCTAAGACAAAAATGTGTGAGCTGGAGGCTAAAAAACCGTGAGCTAGCTCACACTAACTCAGCTTAGAGGGAACACTGGAGCCATCCTTCCTGAGCTCAGAAAAATGCGTGAGCCGGATTTTCACGGCTCAGATGGGGTGTCACCTGACGCTGCCACCACTCTGGTTCCAGGCTCCCTTGAGAAGGCCCAGAGCACCCTCCCAAGACCTTCAGACCTCCCTTTTGGCCGAGTAATAGGCGTGAGGACCAGGCAGAGTGAAATAAGGAAAAGGTTTATTGTGTAGGTGGTCAAACAAACAAGGTGCAGGAATAATAACAGTAAGTGGGTGAAAAGAAAAGAAATCAAATGCCCTAACGCGTCTAAATATATACTGTCCCTAGCTCACTATCTCAAGTGGCCTTACATTACTCTCCGCTCCCTCAGAATGAGGGCTTCTTCCCCTGCAGCAGCCTTCCTTCTGGCTCTGCCCTCTGGAAGAAAGAACAGCTTCTCCTCTTGTACCAGTTCTTTTATTCCCCAGCCCTCTTCTTTTCCCATTGGTCCATTTTGGCTCCAAAACCTCCCCAGGGGCTTCTGGGAGTTGTAGGCCCAGCCTCACCTACTGCTAGCCAGGCTCCCTGGGCCCAGTAGGCCTCTGGTGGCACAGCCCAGATCATGACACGGAGGCTCACACTAACTCTGCTTAGAGGGAAGGCTGGCTGCCGCCCTAGCACAAGGCTCTTTGCTGTGTGACTGAGGGTAAACTGGGGCGGCCATTTTGTGGCTCACTCCGCCTCCTGGGGCAGCCATTTTGTGTTGGCGCACACCACACTCTGCCAGAATTCCAAAGACGCCAGCAAGCTCAGAAAAAGTTGGGGGACCCCCCCCCCCGCTTAGGTGTCATTAGACCCAGTATCCCGCTTCCCATACGTGTCCGGATAGAGGCCTCTAGAAATGCAGGAAGCAAGGCGCAAAGGCAGCAGCGGTCCCCATCACTCATCCCCGAGTATCTGATATCCGGGGGTATACTTCTTCCGAAGCTGGAGGTTCCATTTAGTCGTCCTGACTAATTGTCAACGAGGGGCTTATCCTTTGGGAATTTGCTTGATTCTCCTTTTCAAAACCCTCTACGCCTGTGGTAAATCGTCCCCCATCTTATGACCCTCAAAATAGCAGTGAGGTGATAAAACAGTATCCTGCGTAGATCGGCTTTAATCCATGCAAGCCTCTTTTTTTGGTTTGTTTGGGTTTTTTTGTATTTTTCACATGTGCATGCGCATGTGTGCGCCCCTGGAAGTCAGGGTGACCGCTGGAGACTGACCTGTTATGGGGAGGGGAAGGGAAAGGAGTTTGTAAGCCGCTCTGAGACACCTTTGGGTAGTGAAGGGCAGGGTATAAATCCAGTCTCTTCTTCTTTTCTGTGTTATACCTCTGAGGATACTAGTCACAGCTACTGGCGAAACATCAGGTCCTACAATGCCAAGACCACGCCACAAAGCCCGGAAAATCTACAACAGCTAATAAATTCAGCGAGAACTTACAGATGATGTCTGTATACAGCTTAATATCCTTTCCCGGTAGGGAGAGGATGGAGGAGCCAAGCTAGGTGGATGTTCCCTCTAAGCTGAATCAGTGTGAGCTAGCTCACCGTTTTTTAGCCTCCGGCTCAGACACTTTTGTCTCCGCTCAGGAAGGAGGGCTCCAGAGCAAACTAATTTATGCAGTAGCCCAATCGCTCGCTCACAACTTGAATGCCGGCAGCTCACAAAGTAGAATTTTTGCTCACAAGACTCAGTGAAACATCGGTCTTGCAGGCCCTGCGGAATTGAATTTTGTGGCTGGCTCCGCCTCCAGTGGCAGCCATTTTGTTGCTACGCCCCCCACGCCTTGTCAGAATTCCAGATGTGCCCCCAGGCTCAAGAAGGTTGGGGACCCCTGAACTAGGATCTGCAAGACCCGGGTTCGAATGTCCACTCGAGCCGCAGAAGCTCGCTGGGGGACCCTGGGCCAGTCACACACACTCTCAGCCTCGCCTACCTACCAGGGCTGTCGTGAGGATAAAACTGAGGAGGGAAGGGCTAGCTCACAGTTTCTTAGCCTCCGGCTCACACAATTTTGTCTTAGCTCAGGAAGGAGGGCTCCAGAGCAAACTAATGTATGCAGTAGGCAAATCGTTCACTCACAATTTTAATGCCAGCAGCTCCCAAAGTAGAATTTTTGCTCACAAGACTCCACAGCTGATGTTCCCTCTAAGCTGAGTCAGTGTGAGCTAGCTCACAGTTTTTTAGCCTCCCGCTCATACATTTTTGTCTTAGCTCAGGAAGGGATGGCTCCAGAGCAGCTAGATTATGCAGTAGCCAAATCCCTCACTCACAACTTTAATGCCGACAGCTCACAAAGTAGAATTTTGCTCACAAGACTCGGTGAAACATCGGTCTTGCAGGCCCTGCGGAATTGAATTTTGTGGCTGGCTCCGCCTCCAGTGGCAGCCATTTTGTTGCTACGCCCACCACGCCTTGTCAGAATTCCAGATGTGCCCCCAGGCTCAAGAAGTTTGGGGACCCCTGAACTAGGATCTGGAAGACCCCGGTTCAAATGTCCACTCGAGCCGCGGAAGCTCGCTGGGGGACCCTGGGCCAGTCACACACACTTTCAGCCTCGCCTACCTACCAGGGCTGTTGTGAGGATAAAACTGAAGAAGGAAGGGCGGAAGCCGCTTTGGGTCCCAACCAATGTTCCCTCTAAGCTGTGGAGTCCTGTGAGCAAAAATTCTACTTTGTGAGCTACTGGCATTAAAGTTGTGAGCAGGTGATTTGGCTACTGCATAAATTAGTTTGCTCTGGAGCCCTCCTTCCTGAGCCGAGACGAAAATGTGTGAAGAAAAATGCTAAGAAATGCAATTTTTATATTGTTAAGCTAATAATTTTATAAGCAGTATGTGACCTCCAACTCTTGGGTTTTTAGTGGGTTTTCTTTCCTTTCTCCTATAGTTTGTAGGACACCCCCCCCTCTAATTTTGTTGTAGTTTTTAGAAAATGCAAATTAAAAAATCCCCGACGGGGGGCCATTTAAAAAAGAAAGAAAGAAAGAAAATGTGTGAGCCGGAG